TACAAAATATTGAAACGGAAAATATCAAAAACTTTATAAACAAAACATCGTACCGTTTTCGTGACGCGCGAGCGTCCGTGACGCCCGAGCGTCACTCTCTTTTTGAAGTTAAACTTCTTATGTGAGGGGTATTGAAAAAAAAGAGAGTGACGCTCGGGCGTCACGGACGCTCGCGCGTCACGAAAACGGTACGATGTTTTGTTTATAAAGTTTTTGATATTTTCCGTTTCAATATCCCCGCGTACTTCTTACACGCTCGTTTTTTTTTCAATACCCCTCACATAAGAAGTTTAACTTCAAAAAAACGGACGAAAGTTCTAAACTTATTCAAGACAAGTTTGACTAGAAAATTTAAATAAAATTGACAATTAAATGTTATTAAATGTAATAGCCATCCAATTATTATATTATATTTTTACTGTTCGGTACTTAAATTATTATTCATATAACAATCATAAATAAACCACATCATAGGTAGATATAATGTAGCTAACCAGACATTAAATATTAAAATTTAATTACATTGTTTTATCTAAAAATAATAATCTGTGTGACACGACAGTTATTTTGGATATGTTATTAACATTTTACAAATTTGTTAATTCTATATTTTATAAAGTGTACGAAAGTGTCCTGAAGACTGTAAGAGAGACTGTAAGATTGTAAACATTGTAGTGAGTATGTGCAGTGTGCACATTGTGCGTAGCCCTAAGGGCCAGCCAATAAGCAATAATGGCAGTGAAATAAATAATTCACGCTATAGGTACATGCCAAGTGGACATTTTCGTATATTAAAAATAAATCTTTTTGCCCGTCTCTGACAAACTTTATAGACTTCCCTACAATATTATTATTATAGCGTTTGCATTCAATGCAAATATCGCGATAATAATATTATAGTTGTCAATTTGTACAAAGCGGTTTTCTATGTTCTTAAAATATTGGCACGTCGATTCGAAAATTACACTATACACGAAAACGGGTATAAGATAAGACGCTTTTTTAAGTTCACGGTCATGGCCCTACAATTTATTGTCTGTATGACAAATATAACAAAAAACCATATAATAAATACTGTAAGAGTTCATATTATCAGACATTATCATATTATACTTTTTTTTACTTGCATTCAAACCTTTTTTGTGCTTACATAATATTATTATTGAGTTTCCTTTTTATACAAACACGTCATATTATATTAACGCATAAATTATTTGAATAATTGAAAATATTATATACCATAATAATATTATAATGTACTGGTCCCACTAGGAAATCCGAAATCGGCAGGTAGATTCGGAACCGAGCACGATTCGACTATTCAAGAAAATAATAATTTTCAGGTACCAACAGGTATAATAGTAATAAATATTACAATCGGTTTTCGATCATCAACTTACAGTACCCGCATCATATAATAATAATATTGTTTATATATTATTTTCGACGGCGTCTTGGGATTTGATAACGTCTAATTTCCAAATCTATTTCAGGCAAGCACACACTTCCGGCCATAGAGGACCCGTTGTCTGACTCTGCAATCGTTCCAGGAACGAACAAAATATACCATTATACGATGATTTCCTGCCGTTGATCGATTCCGTCGAATTACGAATATGACGAATAATGTCGTAACCATACTCAATGAAGTACCGTAAAATATTAATACAACGACTATGGTCGATACTAGACGAAATAATACAATAATAGTAATAATAGCGTATTTACTGAATAGTAAATATTATTATGTCCGATAGTTGTACGAAGGTCAAAGGTGATAACTAGGATTGGGATTTCGACTGTTTTGAGAACTTTGCATTATTTTATTAAGTTAGCGATGTTATAACATATCGTTCCATGTATTTTTCGATCAGAAGAAATTTTTATTTTAAATTTAAATTTTTTTAAGATTTTTTTACAGAATTTATGGTCCGTTTTTTTAAAAGAATTGTTTAAGATTTTTACTTAATTTTGGAACGTACCAACATAATTTTTCTGAATCGTAATTTTTGGAATGGATGGACGAGTGGCGACGCCAAATTAAATGAGAATTATCCTTTTTTTCAGATTAAAATAAAGCATAATTACATAAAGAAGATTTAAAAGAAACTGTGCAAGACTTTTTTTTTAAATTTAAAGAAAATATTTTAAACCTGGTTCTTCAAAACTCGTTTAAGATGAAAAAAAATCTAATATCATTATGTTGGTGAATTATTTTGAATTTTTTTGACTTAAAAACACATTTTCTTTTTTACGTCATTACATTCCAAGCTTTAGAGTGATATGGTTTTGTGTACACCTCCAAAGATGATACTCGGAACTCTGAGGAGAGCGCACGACAATGTGTACTGGAAAGTGGAAACATCGTCATTTTATTTTTTTTTTACAGTAATATCATTATCGTACAAATGTGTGTTGTTCGCGCCGGCCGAGTTGCGCCGCAATTTATTTGCATGGACGCATGTGGATAACACGATTGCGCGCCACGGCCAGATTCTATTTTATTCGATATTTTTCTGGCAATAAAAATTGTTTTACGAGTTTTATCGTAGCTTTCATGATAATATTAATATATTCGCGAGTTTATAGAAAAGCGGTTTTGCTGACGTCGCACCCACTCGGGTGACAAATTTACAGCCTGTCGTCGTCGTCTAATCATTATTTCAATGTTGCCCGTTTTTCTACCCGTATCGGTGAAATTATGATAGTAATTTTATCAAACGCAAGAGTCGAGAACAACTATTATTAGGCCTCGTCGATTCGTTTGGAACTATGTCACCCTCCCCAAGACCACAACAAATATGAAAGCTGCCTGCCTGGCAAACCTGCCTACGATGTTTATAATATATCATTCTATAATATTATCTAATTAAAAAAAATCTAATAAAGTTTGTTACGTTTGCATAAGTTTAAGCCTACAATTTTGGACTGCTACAGTTAAGTAGGTAATTAATTACACTTGGGTAGGTATAAACAATTTCTTAAAACTAATGTTTCTGGTTTTAAACAGAATACGATTATTATTTAAAACATCCTGAAAAATTAAAAAAACTATTCAATTTTTTTAATTAAAATTTCTTTTGTACAATTCTAAAATGTTTTCAAAAATTTTATTCGCGCTTGAAATAAACAAATAATTATTGGGAAATAGGAAAACAACTCGGACAAGGCACAAGCAATTATTACTACAGTGAGGTCGAAATCTCTCGGCTCGCACCACCACAACAACAATAACAACACTATCGTCGGACGGGTGGTTACAGAGTCCAACCTCGCATTTTTAATAATTATAATAACGGAATATCAAAAACACGATACCGGCGGCGGCAGAAACGTTCCCGCCGAAAATCCGTCGGCGTTTCCCGCGCGCGCGGCCGCCGACGAGCACGCAGCGCCGCCGCGGTGCGTAATCTCACCGGGAGAGTCGCGGCGTCACGGGCGGCAGACGGATCGCCGCACACGCGTTGGTGGTGACGGGTGGGGTGGTGGCGGTGCTCCACTGGTCGAAGGGCGGGCAGGCGGCGAGACTCAAAACGTTGCCGGCGCTCGCGCGCACGCACCGGGAACGCCGCCCGGGGGCGCGCGCCTATCCTCGTGGCCGATGGTGGGAGTGATGCGGCGGCGGGCATTGTCAACAGACAGACTGATAGGGTGGTGGCGGCGGGGTGGGGTGCACGCCGGCCGGCGTTTTCGGGCGGCGGGGGCTGGGGGGTACCGCCGCGGCCGTGCGAGTGCGCGCACCCGCCCGTTTTCGAGCATGTGTGTGCGTGTGACTGTACCGCCGACACCTCGCCCCGGCCCCATGTCAGTCCATATACGGAGACCGTTTCGTACGCACTTGAGCACTTCCATTGCCCGCGCGCAACACACGCACCGCTCGTGTGTGCAGGCCCAATTCCACCACCATCACCACCACCACCACCACGACCGCGGTTATAGTAGTAGTAGTAGTAGTAGTAGTAGTAGTGACGACGACCGCCGTCGCGTACAGTACTACAGTCTCATCCGCACCGGCGCCGGTAGTGAACGTGGTGCGCGTGGCCGTTATATCCGCTATACCGTTTGAATGTAATTTCGTTGACGTTTTTATAATTTTTTTTTCGTTTTCCGATTTCGATCTACAAATCGATCTCGCTCGCGTTCCGTACGATAAATTAATTAATTATAATAATACTGTCGTGCTACGAGTTTTTTTCGATTTTTGTCCGGACGTGTCCCAGACGATAGTTAAATAGACAATCCGTCGTCGTCGAGTTTGATATCTCGGTTTTCCCGGAGCCAATTCGGGCGACAATTTCTGCTCGGGAATTTCCCCCGGTTTTTCACCGAAGGGACAACGGTTGATACATTACAATTTTTTTTTTCAAACATCTCATCGTGTGCGTGCGCGTTGGCGACACGCCGAGTGACCGTCCAAAAAGAACGGTGGGATTACGCGGACTAAAATCACATTGCCGGGTAAGTCGTAGAATATTTCTTAAAAGTTAAAGTTAATGTTAATCTAGCTGCGATAGTAGTTGTAGACGATAGTGAACGGCTCGATCAGCGAGCCCGCCAAGTTTAGAGCGGCCGTTGCGTTTCCCGCCAGCCGGCGGCGGTTGGCGCGACCAACGTGGCTCGCGCGTTGGGCGTATGCCGGCCGGCGTCGGCGACGCGCCGGCGCGCCGGTCGCCCTTCACTTTCGCGCGCGCCCGTTATCGAACCTTTTTTCCCCACACCGACATTCCTTCTCGACCGGTCGCCAACGCGCCCGGGGAATCGTCACGGCGGTATCTCGCCGGCCACGGCATTCATATCGTATCCTACCGTGTCCTAGACTCATCATGCCCCTTTTAAATTTTTAAAACCGCTTTTCCAGTAGCATCCTAGTATCTTTCTACCTAATATTTTATTCTCGATTTTCTTTAAGATCGTCTTCGTTAATCTCCCGCCTCCACACTCGTGTGCACCCAAAAATGACTTACTGACCTCCGTTTTGTCTCGCCACAGGTGCCGCCAAAATGGTGAACCCGAGCACGGAATCCATACTAAATCAGATGACCAACCTGGCCATGGACATCGCCCTGGACTACGTGTTGCCCGCGTCGCCGATGAGCGACGTGTGCAAGAGCGACCTGTTCGAGTTCGAACGGGACGTAGTTGTCGCGGCCGCTAGCGGAGGCCCGTCCGCCGGAGGCCTGCTCAGCAGCCTGGTGGCTGGCACTGCAGGTACGGCTGGTGGCTGTTGTGGCCGTCCGCCCACCGACTTGTGCAAGAAGAACAGTTATATGGGTGCGGCGGGATGCGACTCGTGCGACGCATGTCTGGCCAGGAGCGCCGCGGCCGCAGCAGCCGCTGACCTCTACTCGCCGAGCAGTTGTACCGCTACAAGCGGCGGCCTATGTGCGTCTGCGTCCGCATCACCGCCATCATCGAGTTGCTCATCCACGACGTCGTCGTCCGCCTCATCCACACCGTCTCAGCAGCAGACTGCCGAGACGACGATGGACATCAGTTGGTGCCAGTTCGACGGGTGCGAGTTCGACACGGCCGACAACAGTTACCTGGACATTTGTGATTGGATATTCTACGCCGATCGATATGCGCTCACTGACGAGAACCGCGAGAAAGTTCAGAAAGCGTTCCAGATGGTGCCACCCGGCGAGGTGACCGGTTACGTGGCCGAACCTGCAGCCAAGCACGTCAAGAGGAACAACAACAACGTAACGGCCGCCGGGCGGTCCCCTGTTGGTTGTACGCTGGATGTCGCCGACTCCCCGGCCGTGGCCGCAGTAGCTGCAGCCGCCGCGGCGGCAGCGATCGTCGGTGGCGTGACCATCAAGTCCGAACCAGACGACGATTATTTGTGGACCAGCGACAACCACTTGCTACCTATCATACTCAAGGCAGAACCCAACGCCGACATACTCCAAATTACCGAACTGGACCACAGTTACCTACAGACGCCCACCCACCACCACAGCAACAGCGGCGGTGGCTGCGGCTCGACCAGTTCGTCGACGGCTGTATCGCCCGCCAAACACCACCCCAACCACTTGGTGGACATGCTTGGACTCGTCACTCCACCCCCGTCCCGTTCTCAGTCTTCCGGTGAGTACACAGAATCATAACAATTATTAAATAATATTAAATAGTAATAATAACGGCGATATTGGGTTTTGTAGGGAAAGGTTTTAATTTTCTTGAGACGTCGCGTTGCGCAACATGCGTGCCGGCGTTGGCCGAGACGTGATGGTGCGGCGACGATGAATGCGCGCGCATCGTCGTCGGCCACCGCGTAACCGCGTAGGGGGGAAACGCGCGGGAAACGGTGGCCTAGTTCAAGGCCCATCGTCTCCACTCGGCGGTTTCGTTTAATTTCGTTTTTATTCCCCTCCTCGACGCGTCCATTGGCGGCGGCGACGAGATTACACTTCTCGGTGGAGGTGGCTTGGTGGTCGTAGTCGTCTGCTGCTCGTTTTTATCAGTCGGAAATCCCGCACACCGGGTGTGCCGCGAAGAAGAATTGATGTTAAATAATATTATATTATTTAATAATGATATCATTATGTTGCGAGATTCATCCGTTATCGACGAATGTCCGATAGAGAGAGGTGTATTTTCGTCCCGGGCCTGCCCCAATCCGTTTCCGGACGTCCGCCTGCCGAAAAAGAGATATTGTTCGTCGCCGTCTACGGACTTTAATCGTACGATATTATTATTACTGTGTGTTATCGTAATAATATTGTCCGGTCGGCGGCGGTTATTTTCCCTCTTAAAATAACCCGCGAATGTTTTTTTTATTTACGCCGTCGCTTCCCTCTGCTGCTCCACCGTTCATCGGCGCGCAGTTCAAACGCCGTCTTCGTTTCGGTTGTGGTCGTCGTTGTTGTTGTTGTTGTTGACGATATCTGATCCTATCCACGCGTGGTGTCCTGGGGTGGAAGGGGGAAGGGAGAGGGGTGTAAACGTCGATGTAGTGGTTTTTTATTTTTTTTTCACTCCATATCGTGTTATTCCATTCTGTGAATCGACTGGTCACATAATGTTATTATTATTTATAAAAAAAGCGCGCGTGCAAACGATAATAAAGAACGAAATGACAATAATAAACACGAATCGATTCTATTTTTGGATGTAAGAAACTTGCAGTGTCTTCTATCTGATAAAAATTCCAACCGCATCTCTCGCGCAGCTCATTATTTATATTTTTTTTTGAATTTTTTTTTTGTTGTCAGATTTCTCTGTATTTGCTCTCCCGCGCCGCTGCCCGGGCCACCGCGTTGGTATGCGCGCGAATAATAATAGCGTTTCACTTTTGACGAAATAATAATTCATCTCCTGAAATAAGTACTACCGTTACTTCACGTCTTGTTCTTCGATGGCTAAATATATCCACCTATTTTCGAAGCGCAGGTTTATGAGACTTTAATAATCTTCGATAACTGCATTATCGTTCATATTTCTTATTTTTAATTAAATATTTGATTAATTAAAATTAATGACTGCTTGTTAATACCCGCAGAGCGTTCATAAATTTAGAACATAAATACTGATAGTGGCTAAATCTAACTATATAATAACTTATAAAATATGTCCAATATTACATTATGTGTGTGTCGAAACAATAATAACGATTCCTATTTTTGATACTCGTTACGTAAGAACCGCCAAGGTATATTGTAAATGGGTCAAAGTAGACATTTCGTATAATACCTATTTCCAACGATTTTTCGTATTTAAGGTCTATTTCGGTAAAAACGTTTTTTTTTTTCTGTGTTCCGAATAATATAATATCTACAATACACCCTCCGCACGTGAGAATCGGCTTTTTGCGCCACTCTTCAGAACTCTGCTGTGTATTCGTCTAATAATATTTAAAATTATTGTGATCATATTATGTAGTCGTCGTCGTTCTGGCATCGGCAGCAGTAGTTATTTCACGAAAAAGTAAGAGTGTTCTGGTTAGCTGAGGCGGCGGCCTCCCAACCTATTGCGTGCGGGGGAAAGTGATAAATGATAATGTTCCGACGACGACGGCAATTTTAAATTTTACGTTTATTAATAGTGAAGGAATCGTAGTGTTTTTCCTGGTCGGACGATAAATTGATATTAAATAATATTGTTTGTATTTTTAATATCCCTCCGCCCCGGTGGGAAAACAATAAAATAATTAATATAGTAAACTCGCAATAGACGAATACGGTGTTGTCATCACTAGTGGCTGGCGGTGACGTGCCCGCGCACTCTTATCGATAACGTGTCTAAAAATACTATTACTACAAAACGGCGTTGGTGTGGGTTCGGCGGGGTGAGGAGGGTGTCGGTGGGTCGGCGGCAGGGGTTGTCCAGGAGAAGAGGGTGGAAAGTATTTCGGTTTTACGGGCGATCGATATACGGGCGGCGGCGTCGGCGGTCGTGGACTTGCCCTTGAACCCTAACCGGGGCCCCTCGCGGCGTGGTTATAGTCGCGACGTGTCGTGTGCGCGCGCATCGCGGCGGCACCGGCACCGGCACCGTCGCCGTCGTCGTTTTTCCCGGCAAGAGAATTTTCCGCGCGCGCGAAAAACGCCGGCTCCACCGCCGCGGTGTGAACGCACCGACGACGTAGTCCCACACACGCCATTGAGGGCGGCCGCACACGTTGGCGGGAATCTTCTCACACACGCATATACGCACACCCGCGACCCTGACGTCACGGCCGCCGCCCGTCCGATCGATCGGCGCGCTCTCCGGCGACGGTGTCGTCGACCCGCCCTTGAACGATTCCGCGGCAGACGACGCGCGCTTTCCCGCTCTCCCTCGCACTGGCACCGCGAATTTTTAAAATTTAAACCGTTGACACGTTGTGATACCACTCAGTGACGTATTCTTGTTGTTGTTTTTATTATTATTAGGTATTCAATAATAATTAATATAATATATTTTGCTTACACTTTGTACATGTTATTAACGTTCGTTGGGTATTTTTTTCCCTGTTTTTCTCGCAGAAGAAGAAGAGATCGACGTGGTCAACGACAGCTGGGATACGCCCGATACGCCCCGCAAGGGTGCCACTATGGCGGACATAATGAAACGCGGCATAGTCAAGAAGCGCGAACCGCCCGTGACCAAGTGGAAGAGCACGGTCAAGCGGAAGCACAAGACCCCCGGGCAGTCGGCCACTGCGGCAGCCGTGGCTGCGGCGTACCCAATGCCCCCGCCTCCGCCCAAGAAGCTGTGCGGTGGATTGTCGCTGTTGGACCGATACAAGAAGGACAACACCAACTGGAAGGGCACGCCCATCATTAAGGATGAACCCGTCATCAAGGAAGAACCCGTAATTAAGGAAGAACCCGTGGACGACTACGGTTCGTCGGCCGGCGATGACCGCAGTGACGACGATGAGTACGACAACCGACAGCGTCAGCGACGAAAACAGCGGCAACAACATCAGCAACAACAAAACGCGCTCACGACGACCATTAAGCCGGAGCCGTTGGATGAGGATGAAGAACGCGAGGGCGATGACGACGAGGACGACGATTACGACATGGATGCGGACTTCGAGTCGCTGATGAAGAACGAACCGGACGACATGTTCGACGACGATTACGATGATTACGACGACGACCACGACATGGATTGGGACAAAGTGTTGCGGGGCGCGTCGACGTCGAGTGGCGGTCGCAAGTCTTCCGGTGGCTCTTCGTCGTGCAGTTCATCGTCAACAACCACGGGCGGGGGCCGCAAGAAGAAAAAGAAGAAGAAAAAGAAAACTGCCGTGTCAGGCTCATCGAAGTCGTCATCGACAAAACTACATCACCACCACCAGTCCGGCGCTGGCAAGAAAATCAAGTACGAGAACGTCGGCGGTGGCGGTTACAGCTACAAGACCAAACTCATGGACCCCGTCAAGAGGGCGCTGCACAACGACCTGGAGAAGTCGCGGCGCGTCGAGACCAGCATGCTGTTTATGAACCTCAGCATGCAGGTGTCGTTCCTGGACGACAACCGCAAGATACCGTCCAAGCTGAGCATACTGCGCGGTGCCAAGCGGGAGTGTGACCTCATGATGCTCGACGAGCGACGGCTGCTGTCCGAGAAGCATGTCATGCAGCAGAAGCAGCGCATGCTCCGCGAGCGGCTGTTCGAGCTCCGGCGCGAGCACTACCACCGGCGGTACGGTAAGCCGAAACAAACATCATCATCATCAAACCATTTCTCACACAACCAACAACAACAACATCAGCAATAGTCGTCGCGGTGAGAACGCATCTTATAATTTGTAATATTTACATTATTATTCTTAATTGACTTATCTTCTCACCCGCCAAACGAAACAAAACACAAACAAACTACCAACACACACACACACAAACGCTCGCTCGCTCCACGCACTCTCGTACGTCCTGCGCGTCGTTTTATTTAATTATTTATTATTTATTTTTTTTTTTAATTTCGAAGAACGGTTGCTCAAATATATTTAAACATATATTAATTTATTATTATTATCATTAATTATATATTATTATTATAATAATAATTACTCTTATTATCGATACGTATTGTTTATGTATGTAGAGGTAGTTAGGTAGTTAGACGTGTGTGTGTGTGTGTGTGTCGGTGTTACAATATTATGCTTATGTATAAATAATATAAATATATATATATATATAATATGTATAGATGTGCGCATCATACGAGTTTATAATAATTGTATGTACATATAGTTAGGATATATTTTATTGTAATATTACGATTCGCCCGGGACGAGTGCGCGCGCGAGAGTGTGCTTGTTTTTTGTGGTTTTTCTATTCATTATTTTTTTCCGATTGTTAAATCACGGAAACAGAGAGCATACTTATTATTATTTGTTTTATTTTTTTACAATCGGCCGGACATGATAATAATAATATAAAGGTCGCGGAAGCGGTAAACGAACGATCATTTTTAAAAGAGAAAGAAATTGCGTTTGAATTTAATATTTTGTCGCAGTGTGTTCGACAATTTTCCTTTTGAATTTCGGAGTTTTCCGCTACCGTGGCACCCTCTCCTCCCTCCCTCCCTGCTCCCGTGGCATTGCTGTGTGTAGTGTTGTCAGAGCCGTCATTCTTGTAAATACGAATAATCAACTTTTAATTTACTATATAATATAATATATAAATATTATTATTAATAATCGTGTAACACTTAGGATATTTAGTTTTTTTTTCAAACGTATAGGCCTACTGAATACATTTGAAAATATTTTATTATTTGAAATCGTGAAATACACAAGTTAACAGCCCTTTAAAAGAGATGACGATATGTTCCTATTGTACAGTTTTTTTTTTAAATATATATATATATAATATAATATAAAATATCTAATTGAAAACTTTTAGTTGTATAATATTTTTAACGTTACCCGTAGACGTAGACAATATAATAAAATATAATTTTAAGTATGAGTTAACTGTAAAGTCTACGAGGATATTATTACATGATGCTTCCCCTCCCCCACGTTTTTTTAATGCACAGTACAAAATAGATTAAGTATGATCTTAAAATGTTATAGTTGGTAGTATTGATAATTATTATTTTTTCTGATGTAGGTATACTATACTTGTTAGTTTTTTTTTTGTTACGTTTTACCTGATTTCGTTGCATTTCCAAGTTGTGTTTGCGCATTTTTCCTTTATTATTATTATTATTATTTTTATTATTATTATTATTTCATTTTTTAAACATTTCTTTTTTTGTTCACTAGACGGCACCTAATTTAAATGCACTTGTAAAAAATTAAATAAAATGTACGTAAAACAATATTATTATTATTATTATTATTATTATTATTATTATTATTACTATGATTATTTTTATTACAATTATTATTATTATTATTATTATTATTATTATTATTATTATTATTATATTATTATAAAAGAAAGTAATTTATAAAAGCGCTTTTTTGTACATACAGATTTAAATTAAACAAGGAATCCCCGTAATCAAATAAAAAATGGTAAAAAGCTTTCATATTTTTAGATATAAATATATACAATGTATGTTTTAAGTACACGTACACACTTATTGAAATAATTAATTTGATTATTTCTAAATAACTAATTATACCAGTGGAAGTAACAGGAGTGTTCATTAATATTAGGTATTTGTTAAAGAAAAAAAAATATTAAGTAAATAAGTCATAGACATTTTTTAAAGAAATTTTCTCCTAAGATACAATAATGTGATAAGTGCTGTTTTTTATAAATTGTTAAGACTTGTTTTAGTTATTAGGCCACGAAAAAGAATATGTTTGTTTTATCTCCAAAACAACACGTTTCTGCCGTAAAATAAACGTCCCTAAATTTTTAAAAAAACTTTTGTTTTTGGATTTTTTTTTTTAACTCTAGTCTCGAGTGCCATCCTCGTTCATGATATATATACACCCCTCCCTCTTTTCATATATTACACACGCGAAAGAGAGATATATTTTTTAAACGCTAACTCTTTATTGGTCGCACATATATTAATAATAATAATATATAAAATATAAATACATAATATACGTGTATATTATTACTACGGAGGAAAAAGTAAAATTTAGTGAGACTAATTTTGTATTAGATATTATTATTTTTAATAATTAAGGCTGAACGTGATTGTTAACCAAGTGCTGCAAACATTTAATTGGAAAACTAATGAAATATATAATTAAAAAAAAAAATTACATTTTCATCTTAATGCTAAGCCATAAATTTACCCTATTTATATTTATCGAAACGTAAGTTATAAACATATATAATATATTTTTTATGTACAGTCTGTGGCATTAGCCTAGAAAGTTGTTAGACTTGCTTTTATCTGTTATAATTTAAGTTTGTTTTTTTTTTTACTCTTAACTGAGTATTGACTTCTTTTTATGATTAATTAATTTATAACGGTCGTGTTAATTAAATTAAGAAAACCCATATGTACCTCTTTATCGTTTTTACACAACAAATACAAAAAAAAAAAAAACATTAGTGCATAATCAATTTTTTTAAAATGATGTAATATTTTAAAGAAATGATATTAATTGATATTTTAGAGTCTATGTTTTGTATTTTATTCATACTTATATTAGATAAAAAATAAGCAAAAATGAAAAAAAATCGTGAAAAATCTTTTGGCAATTTGTTTTGATGTTATTATAATGGAAAAAAATTGTAATCTGGAATGGAAAAAAAAAATTGGCGTGTAGCAAAAAAAAAATATTACTTGTTTTTATTCATAATTTTAATACCATTTAAATATAATAATTATTGTCTTGTTCACGTTTCCTACGTTCCTCTCATTTCCCCAAACACCCATATGAATTTCGATTAAACTACACTTCGTTTAAATCAACCGAACGGAAAGTTATTACAAGGAATGGTAATAAAAGATTTACCTGGCTGAAGTTGACCCTGAAGTCCTTCATCGACGAAGTAAGTATAAGTATATATTTGTACAGCACTTTCTAGTACAATAATAATATAACTGTAAAGGAGTGACCATAGATTTCTATTAAGAAATGTACCAATAACAGAGCGAAAGTCCTGCGAAAAAAAGGTCCATCATACTTTTATTGATTTATTATTTGCAAATATTATTATGGTTTTAAATTACAGATAAAATGTATTACACAATTGGTAACCGCTCTGCTGTACTGTACAGTAAAGGTGTCACAATTGTACTTCGTCACTGAGTAGGTCACAGCTGTAATGGATGTGTATTTTTTATTCAATGATCAAATAATCATTGTTTATACTATGAAAAACGATTTCTAAGCTTAGAAGTTCTAACTTTTCGGTAACCATGGTGGTACCAAACAATTACTTTTAAATGTTAACAACTTATGTTCGTTTGTAAGTATTAGATTCAATTTGTTACTAAAAACCTCCTTTTATAAGCAAATTGCTTCTACTAAAAAATCTAAAAAAGTGTCTTCAGTCACAAACAAAACAGAAAACTGTGAAATCAATACATACATTGCTACGCCCAGAATCTAAAACTTAAAACATTAGTTTTTTTATATAAACTATAAGCGTAAAAAAAAGTCGAAAAAATTGTGCTCATGCCTATTATGTAGGTACCTATCTATGAAAGGGATATTGAGCATGTCTTTGAAGTAACAATGTCGGTTCTTGACAACCCATAGCCATATAGTTCCGTGCATTAATATGTCTATAGGGAAGAAGACGTTAAGGTGTGTCCCAACACCCCCTCATTGGACAAAAAACCAAAAAATCTCATAAAAAAAAAATACGTAGACCATCATACGACTAGACAAATACCACGACGTTCCATACCTACGGCGTCTGACCGCGGTAGACGTGCGGTACCTACCTTCCTATACCTACCTATCTAGTCGTAGGAAGAATGGAAAAAAGCACTACCATATGTCGGTCGCACGATGCTTTAGTGTAGGTACGACCGGATTTCGTGAAACGCGCCGGGCGACCAGGTTCAAGGTTGTGTCGTCGCGCGGTATCGGTCGCTGGAGTGGTGGTGGAGGTACGCGCGTCGCGTACGGTCGGTCGCCGTCGCCAGCGTAGGAATTCCGAACTGGCCTCCGCACTCGGCTGGGCTAGCGCCAAAGTTGAAATACGACACCGACCGAAAGTCGACTACACACAATTTCGACTCATTTTTCCAGCACACACTCTCCGACACCGGTTTGCGTTCCGACCACCACCTCTCTCCGACACCACGCGGACGTCCTACGTACCACTTCCGGCAGCTATGGTCAAATTTTATTTTCCCCCTCCCCCAAATTTTATTTTTGGACCATGTAATCAGTCGTATAGTTGTTCCTGCAGGGTCTCTACCGCCACCGTTCGCACGTCTCATCTTGGAAATAGACTCGCCGTCAGACTATATACTCGCCATAATACGACATCAAAAGAAATTAAAGGTTTCTTTTGCATTTTAGTGAACACACAAATACGACACGTGTATATAATATTGAACAAATTTTAGCTGCGTCTCTATAGAACAAAACTATCAATCGTGTACAACCTTGCTAACTAATAAACTATATTATATTAATATAGATTTACGATAGGTAAGTTTAACTGACGATAAGAGATATTAACACGATAATATAGAGATTAAATGCGCTCTGGTCGTTAAATTAACAAGCGACTGTGACGATGACGATAAATTTGTTAAATCGTAATATAATATAATTTTGAATTTAAATTTAAAATACAATACATGGGTTGCGCTTGCATCGTTGCAAGACGATAATCACATTTTTTAGAAAACATTAAATATGCACAGGTAATATACGTACCTATGCAAATCGATGAAATATAATAAAGAAATATAAAATAAAACAAACAAAAAATAAACTAAAAACTTAAATATAGACTATTCCCCCCAAAATTTAGCAAAAAGCTCGCATTATTAAATTCACTATTCTATTTCACGGATTTCTAGTTTGGTCTGCTTCAAATCGAGAGCATATAGAACAATATGCAACTCATTGCAACTCCTAAGATTTCCGAAACCGGCGAAACCTGATTATAAACTATAATATAGGAGCCAAACAGTAGGTAGGTATGTACAAACAGTGCCGTAGGTAGTGTAAAACATTTTTTTTATTTGAAAAAAATTTGAAATTCAAAATTGACTACCCCTTTATAATCAAATTAGAAGTTATTTTAGTTTTATTACTTATTCCAACAGAAATAATCATTCAATTATTCAACAATGTATATATTTTTGAATAGTTTGATTAGGTCCATTTCATCGTAGGTATAGTAAAGAGTATTAAATAATAATACTATAATTATTTGTCGTTACATGTTGTAATATTCAATGTTACTGCACCCGATCGCTGTCTTTCAGTCCACAGAAATTGTACGAAATCCAAACTTAATAAAATTGTCAACAAGATCGTGTTATCATGCTTACAAAAATTTTAAGCCATAGAACGTTCGAAACGTTAAAATTTTGCTGACTAAACAGGTTATAATAATATGTAACAGTAGATTGTAGATACCTATTCAATACATATAGGCAGTTACTACTTAAACAGGCTAGAACTTTCGTTCAATATATGAAAGCAATAACGTCTTTATCTCCAGCGATTATCGTATATAGGTAGTGTCTTACTCAATCAAATAACAACTGGGTAATTGGTCTGTACAGAGATACATCGCGATCGCCATTATTTCCGGTACATTGTTTATTTATTGCGCGTGCCCAAGCTTGGTATTTAGTTTTTGTATTATTGTTAGTTTAGTGAAGTAGAAGTTTTAAAAATTCTGAAAGCTAAACCGTCTTTTCCCTGTCCGTTGCGTATAGTCATGTGCCTATACAAAAAATGTTTGTCATTTTATTGAGGGCATTATTGCGTTGAAAAAGGATTTTTGGTTATTTTTTAGAGCATTTTTCGTTACTTTTTAGCGCATTTGAACCTGTCCCATAAAAAACCTATGGATATACCTCAAACTCGCTGATCCAGTCGTCTTACTCGCATCTATCACCTCCCGGACTCACCTGCCGATTATGATCACACATGTCTCAAAAAACAGCTTTCGCCACGCCACTAAAGTACAAAACTTAATATTATCGCTTGCGATGTGTTATTATTTATTATATGTTTTATATTGGTTTATATTATACGGAAGACGAGTTTTTTTTATTCGCTCTTGCGGTGTAGTAACGATATTATACAGGTAATAATGACACGACGTATGCGTCCGGCGTGCTGCGTTTGCAACTGCCAGGCGCTGTGGTTCGATTGAAAACGATAAAGTTTCCGAAAGACCGTTTTACGACTTTCGTCTATGTAGGGTAGCTGGAAATATAATACAATTATGAAACTTTTTTCATATAATGTCTCGGCGGCAGTTGTTGGTCGTCGCCACACCACTTTCGCATCAGCGCCGGGCAACTGCGCAAGTATAACCAATCACTAGCGAAAACACTTTTACGAAAAGTTTATCTAAAAATTACATATTACACGTTGTAGATAATATATATCGTGTATAATTTTTGTGTGGAAATTCCCCATATCGACGGGGGAGAAGAAAGAGGAGGACGCCCATAGATTTTCCGCATTCTCGAAACGCTTTTCTCCACAGGCGTCGTCGTCGATCATATTATTATGCAGACCTGCAGTCAACGATTCCTGTCGCTATAGGAAAACTCTTAAAACGATTATAATGTATATAAATTCGTCGATATTATACTCCCCCTTTTTATAACTTAATATTTATTCAAATTCTGATTTTTGGAATTTCTGTATCGTATACTTTTAAGACAATATTTTGAAATACTTAGATTTTTCATGCAAATATGAACTTCAGAATTTTTACCCAGTTCATTCGTACTTGAACCTCTCTAGAATTTTGACAAGACTTCAAGGGAAGGGGCAAATTTAGTACCATGGCACAAAAATAAGGAAAACGAATTTAGTTCACCCTCTTGCCGTAACCAGCGAACTCAATTTTTACACATTTCTTCTTGTTAAATGTTGATATTTTTATCATTGTTAAATTATTTTAATACTTTTATAATATTTTATGTTAAATACAATTTATATTTCCATAAATTATTATTATATTTTACCATTTACATATTAAAAGGAATAAACGAGCCTCAAGGGGGGAGGGCATCGGAATCATCTCTCTCAAAAGTGCCACTGTAGAAGGCTGATAGTTTTCTTTGATTGTCAAGATTGTCTTGATGTAGGTGTACTTAAATTTAAATTTAAACGAGGAGTTTCCTTATTATGTAACTGCAAAAATGATATAGATTTAACTGTTTAAGTAATGCGAGGGCTTTGATAATTTCGAAATTTTAGTCATTTATAAGCTATTGCATCTATATACCCATCAGGGACGGATTGGGCCATAGGGAAATCGGGAAATTCCCGATGGGCCGCGTACTAAATAGTAAATAGTAGTTAGACGTAAATATAATCTAATTAATCTAATTAGGTATATAGTAAAATACCTATATATTACCATTGATTATAGATTATTCATTCAATGATATTACGTAATAACAGTCTATAATATTATAACTTAAAACGTTGTAAATTTTAATAATAAAAGTATACAACGTCTACAACAGAAACTGAATAATAATATTAATCATCAATAAGTATAAAAAATAACTATTATCAAAAAATCAACTTCAGTGGACAGTAAAATTGGTTATTCGTAGAGAACTCTCTATATAGTTATTCGGGTTGTCGTCGATCAGATGGGCCGGCGAGTTGCGGGTAATTACGACGAATTTTGACGATACAAGTCGATAGAAGATAGTCGATATGAATACCTAATAAGAATATTTCTATTTAAAATTTCTATTTAAATATCAATCGTAATTCAAAACCTCGATATCAGCACACGGCAGTCAGCAGTTCATCACAATTTGGTTAATTTTACAATTAAATTACCAAGTACTTAACTAGGAATAATTCATAAAATATTTTATATTACAATAGTAATAGTTGCGAATTATAAAATAAAATGGAAATGGATGGATCAGACTGTAGTAAAAACAAAAAGGGGGAGGTGAAAAAATTTGAAACAAAAATAATAAAATAGGTACTACCTTTTGGAAGCCAAGGCTTCTAAAAGCATTAATTCATTTTTCAAGTCTCAGAATAGCGAAGTGAGTTTTAGCTGAACTTTGTCATTATAATAATAATATAATTTATTAATAATAAAATTTGAAATAATATTAAACTGTTCCTGTACTAAGTACAATAATCTACAATTTATTTTATTGATAAAATTTCATTAAGAATGAGAGAAAAAACATATTTTGCAAAATACTTAATGCAATAAGTATCTATTTTATTTTTTTATATGAAAATATACGTTAAATTATTTTAGTGTGATATTCAACTGATACTTTCAAAAATTTTAGATAATATTTATCTATAAGTATAAATTATGATTTATCGATTTAATAACAAGGCTGGGCAAATAATTGTTTTTTTTTTTAACTCAGTTTGTAAGTTTGTAACTTAACTTAAACTTTTAACTCATTAATACCCATCCTGGTATAATAATTATTAAAAAAATTATACAAAAAGAGTTAAAGATTTAAAAAATTCTTTCATTGTTAATTAAACCAGTTTCATCATTTATTCAAATAAAAAAAAAATTAGGTACTAACATTTTATTATGTAACATTTATGTGTAGGTAATACTATTGTTATTCCAATATTATTATTTTTATTATTACATTTTATTGTTAAAGGTTGATTTTATAATAACATGTATTACAGTAAACTACCCTTTAAAATATTAAAAAAAAATTGTATCTTCATTCTTCAGTACGGTACACTTGCCAGTTGCCCTCAATCTCCCAACAAATAGTGGGCCGGTAAAAAAGTATTTTCCCGGGCTGGTCTGTAATTCCAATCCGTCCCTGATACCCATTAACTGTAGGAACCCTATATTTGAAGTAAAACCATTATTTTAAGGACTATTGTCCTTTAATACATAAAGTTTAAATATTCACTTATACAAAACAATACTTAAAATTTCGATTTAGAACAGCAAATTTTTAGAAATAATCTGGTGCTTTACAATTAATTTGTAAAAAAATAAGTTTGTTTCATCACCGTATATAGGTACATGGTTATACCTATATGGTTTAAAAATCTTTTGAAAATATATGGTCATTATAATCATTCTAAAAATTCCAAATACCAGAATTTGAATAATTGAATTATATGAAATGATTGACATTTTGGGTAAGTTCGGTGAGTAAGCTTGTTTAAATTTAAACCTAAAAGTTTATGTGCAGATTATAGACTATAAAGTAAATCTTCCAGCTTTTAGAAATCATAAAATGTAAGTAACTAGGCAATTAATTAA